ACTTTTGTTGTATATTCTTGTTGGTACATCCCTAATCCCTCTCTCATAACGATTTGAAGTCAATACAACAACAATAAAAAAACCAGCAGAAAAAAATGTAAATTAAGGCAGATGTTACAGTTTTGCACTCATACATTTTTAAGAACTTTTTAACAATTTTCACGAAAAAAAGAACTACTAACACAATGTTCAGTACTCTTTTGCTTGTTTCAGTTCCTGGATACGATTTGGCATACCTTATTTGTATCTCTGTAAAAATTCTGGAGGTATATCCTTAGTTTGCTTTCACAGCTCATATACTCGATTTTACGGACTTGGATACTTAGTAAGCTGTGCTTTTAGTTGTTTTCGCAAATTCTCAATGAGATTTATGTCCGCGGATTGTGGAGGTCATTTGAAATCAGCAAATTTTTGCTTTTGTATCCAGTCTTTGTGAATATGTGCAGTGTGTTTTGGGTGATTTTTCAGCAGAAACTCTAATTTTTTCGACATCTTGCAAATTTTGTTGAAATATGAACAGATACTGTTCCTCACGCATAATCTGTACTAACAGATCAAGAAAATGTTTGAAATACAACCCCAAACTATTATTGACCGACCACTTTTATTCACAGTTTGCCTTACATGCTGCGCATGGGCTTAATTTGGGTCTTTGACCCAATAGCATGCCCGACCATCTGATTGAAAGCGATTAATTTAGTCGTTTTAGTTATTGTCGGACCAAATAACCTTCAATTGAAACTTAAAAATATGTTTTTATTGCATTCTGAACGGCCTAACATATCCCAATAGGCAACGGTTCGGATTTCGTGCGATGCAGCAAAATGCTGCCGCACTCGCACATGTATTTTGATCAGATTTGTTTTTTTCTTCTTTTATGATCCTTTGCGCTCAATTTGGCAATTCTTCGCCTCGCTGTCTATTGATTTGCGTTAAAGTTTAATACCTTAAGCGCTTCTGTAATAGTGGCTGCATCGCTACTTGCTGCTAAGTTCACAAGATACCGTACCGTAATATTTTTTGACAGACTTCCTTTGCTCTTGGGAACACTTTAGGCTATATTTTTTCTCAGTCTTAACATTTTCAAGTAGCAAATTCCAAAATTGTTTGCCACTTTTCGTGCGGTCCCGCCTTTCCGCAGTAAATCTATTATTTACATTTATGGTTCCTGATTAACTATATTATTTACTGGTGATCACTTCTTCAATAAATTACAATACAGAAAAAAGTCATCTGATTTCCAACTAAGTAAGAGATAACTGTCAAATGCAAAACTGAGAGTGAGTGCGAAACTGTAACATCTGCCTCAATTTAAATTTTTGTCTGCTGGTTTTTTTATTGTTGTTGTATTGACTTCAAATCGTTATGAGAGAGGGAGCAGGGATGTACCAACAAGAATATACAACAAAAGGATGAAAGCCTTTTGAACTTGGAAATATAGCGATGGCTGCATTAAAAAGAGTTACACCATGTAACAGTTTTGCTCGTCACTGTATATGTATCTGTAAATGCAAAAAAAAAATCGAACTTAAAATATTCGATTAACCGAAAATGAACGGTTAACCGAATAATCTAAAGTGAACGGTTATCCGAATAGTCGACAGCTTTCGACTACTCGAATATTGCTAACCGATTAACAGTAGTCGACTTCAGTCAGATTCGAATAATTCGGTTAATCGATTAACCGAATTGCCCGAGCTCTACTACATACCCTCAAATTTTTAGTACTTCTCACAAAACTAATAAATATCTTGCATAAAAGTAACCGTGTGCATCAGCTGTAGTCATTTTCGAAATTCGGTTTCCGAATAGAAATGGGAAAACTTCGATGTTTGGAAACGGAAACATCGATTTTTGCTAACATCGATGTCTACGTAAAAAATCACTTTGGTTGTTCACACTTGCCTCGTTATCAGGTTATCTGGTTAAAAATTATTATTCTTCAGTGTATTTTATTGTTGTAAAGTGAATAAAAAATTGCAACATAACCAGATAACCTGATAACCAGGCAAGTGTGAACAACCATACTATTTTATTGCTAGAGGTCCGTCAATTACACACACAGAGAAGGAACTTAACTTTGGCTTGAGATGCGAGAATAATAAACACCACAAATTTGACGGCTAATAATATGTGATTTGCCTATGCTGAACCGGGTGATTAAAAAAAACAAGCTTTGATTGAGATTATATTTATATGAAAACATAGAAAGAATATAAATCGATGTTAAATAGTGGAAAATCGCTGTTATCGGATTTTTCATAACAACGATACATCGATGTTTCCATCACTACTTTCGAAGTCGATCATAAATAGGCCGTGTTGATTATTTATACTTTTCTTCACTTTTCTGTAGACATTTTGCGGCGTAAGTTAAAAAATACAATTTTAAAATTAAGCCAAACAAGCAATTTCTCCTGTTAATTATTTTCCAAATTTGAAAGGCTTTGGTATCGCCATTAATATTTCATCAATATTTGAGTTTATCATCGTGCTGTAATAATTGGTGAGTTCATAGATATTTTTTCTCTTTTCCGTTGGTGAATCATTAAAACGAATAAGGGAAATAAAGGAGTGATAAAAAATGCATCGCATTATCTTAATAAGGGGAAATCCCAGGTCCAAATCCATAACATGAAATCTTTGTTTTTTTTTTATCAACAGGCGCAACTCGAGATGGCAGAGGAAGAATCCTTTGTAATTTTGGGCAGCTGCTCCCAACCGAATTCTTTGAATTCTATGAGTGAATCCAAAAATACAGATACTGAGCAGCAAAGTGTAAAAAGTGTTATTCAAGCCGAAGTAATGCAACCTATATTAAATGATGCCAAGTTTAGCTCAATAAAAACTGCATTGGCTTCCGCAACTAAAACACTTGACACATCTACTCACTCTGAGTTGTCAAAAAGTAGTGAAATATGGAAGAAAAGTGGTGAGACCACTGCTAAAGCACTTGAAACTTCTATTTGCTCTGAGCGATCTTATAAAATCTGGGAAAAGAACGGAGAGTCCCTCGTGGATAAAAGTGGATTATCCACTAGCAAGGGTGACCTACAGCAAGATGATATCGATATGCAAGAGAAGAAAAATTCGGGTACTATCGCCAAAAGTAGCTTGAAGGTTTCCATGGAAAATGAAACTAATACTAAAGAGGAAGTCACAAATTCCTTAGCTGTGAGCTATATAATGGGTCAAGTGCCAGTAGATGCTTTAAAGGTAAGTAGATATTTACTACACAAGTTTCAAAAAAAGGCGATTTGTTAAATCAAAAAACAAATTTATACTTTCAGGCGAGTTTGCACTCACAATTTCCAAGCGTGTCATTAGAGGATTGCGAGGAACTTACGACAGTTATGAGTGACTATCTAAAAATGAAAGGTGCGCTCTAAATTATTCATTTTGGGCTATCGCTATACGAAAAGGCGATCACTGAATCCGCATTGCTACGAACGTATGCACTCAAAGTGTATGCTTCGTTTGTAGCTATTCGAATTCAGTGATAGCATCTTCGTAGATTTCACGAAAATTCGAACTACGACGGATTCAGTGATAGCCCTGATTATAATAGAATAGACACTAATTTATCTTTGTTATTTTAAGAACTAATTATACAGGTCAATAACAAAATGGGTTCCTGGCTTGATATGAAAAAGCAGATGCAGGCCAATGAGCTTGAAAATCGGCAGAAGTTGGAACAATGCCAGGAGCAAATTGCTGCGGTAAGAGAATGCCGTACATTACACATTAAAGAGTCCTTGATTTCAAATTTTTCCGCGTTTAGTTGCGAAATGAGAACTTGGAATTAAAACGTGAATTAGAAAGTAAACTCGAACAAGTCCAGGCATATGAGGCCGTGCGAAAACTAGAACATGACGATGTTGTAAAGAATATTTCAGAGAAAACTGCATTAATCGCCAACATGCGAACACAAATTGAAAAATTAGAAATGCAGCAACTTGTAAGTCCAGAGCCAAAAATTAAGTCTTTTTTTTGGAAAATTTTGAGTAGAAGTATAATAATGTACTGAAATATTTTTGTAGTCATCGTTTGAAGTTATTTCCAAATTCGGCAAAAACGAAAAGCAGCCGGAAAAATCCGAGTATGTGACACGACTCGAGCACGAGCGCATTGTAAAGGATTTTGAACGCAATATGTCGAGTTTACTAGCAGAGAAGTTGGAAGTCTCCGACATGGTATGTTCAGTGTGATTTCGGCCATTTTTCATATCATTAAGTATATGTCCTTTTTATTCAACTCGTAACACAGCAAAAACAGTACATCGATGAAATAAATTGCCTTAAAGTAAATTTGACTGCTTCGGAAGAGTTGGTCAATCAGCTTCAGTCCGATATAGCTTTGCTCAAAGCCAGTGACAAGGAAAAAACAGAACAGTTTGAAGTGCATGCTAGGCAACGCGATGAAATGCGCGAAGAACTTGGTATATTGCGTCAACAAGTGGACGTCTACAGCCGCGACTTTCAATTGGAACGCACTGCACGCGAGGAAATGGCTGGCGAAAAGGCTCAACTCCTGGATGATCTGCGAGCATTGCAACGCAAAAATCAAAGCCTGACCGAGCAATTAAGCCACCTGGAGGAGCGCATAACAGCCATTACCGCAGAAAGAAGCAGCCCAGCGCCATTAGTACCGGTTTCTAGAGTAAGTTGATAATTGAATAATAATTAGGTATGAAGATATACACAAATCAAATAGAAATACTATTTACAGAAAACCAATCCTCCGGCAACAGCAGCCGCACCGATGGCTCCTCAGCATACATGCCCAGTGTGCTCTATAGCCTGCAATTCCTTGAATAGTTTGCAAGAGCATGTCAACCAATGTTTGGATCAAAATGTGCATACATAAACATTTTTTCTGCTAAAAAGTTTATGTTTCATTGGGCAGATTGACACATAAATGCAAATGCAATTATACCTGCTTATACAACCATATTTACGTAAATATTTTCATATTATTTTAAGACATTTAACTAAACAAAATACATACATACTTGTTTATTGAAGTTTGAACTCAATATATATGTACAAATTTTTTACTATAGAAGGGAGGGCTCCTAAGGTGAGGAACAATTAGGGTCATTCTATATTAACTAAAGTAATGATATATTTATGTACATATATAATGGGGGTATTCACAATCCGGTGCACAATGTCTAGCATGGTGCATAGATAACTTAAATAGCATGATTGGCATATTTTGTTGTTATCCAAACACATGAAAAACAACAATCATGCTATTTATTTATGCTATGTATGCACCATGCTAGACAGTATGCACCGGGTCGTGAATATATCTAATATTTATATTTAAATCACTTGGGTTTACAAATTTGTAAAACATTTCTATACATTTGAGTATGATTGGAAATCAAATTAATAATTATTGATTTATACACACAAACATAGTGTTACGATTGTGCTTAAAATAACATATAAATTTTATGTGGAGTACCCTTTTGTTCTGCGTATAAAATTAAAACCAAAAAAAGAAAAAAAAATATCGCAAAAATTCTACAAAATTTTTCCTTGAAGAAATCTTATAAATTTAAAATTTCTATTATTGAAACTTATTCATATAGACAAAATGAAGGGTACTACATAATGTTTATATTTTAAGGGTTGCCGTAATATGTATGTATGTATGTTAGGAAGTGGACGCTTGATGTAACACCATTAGTTTCAAGAAGACCACCATTTCATGTTTACCTACTATAATTTACTTAAAATCGGCGGCGCTTCTAAAGCCCATATACGCTGCATTTCCTTATTAGCCACCAAGTTACTTAATACTTTTATGTCTGGAAATAATTAAAACAAAACATCACTGAGGTGCAAACATCTACTTTCAACGAAGCACTACTCACCATTCGTCCGCGCATATTGCTCCAACCATGTTCGTATTTGGTAAATAGGCACTGCAGTATTTAAATTCGGGTACACCACATTTCCAACTTTTATATTTGACACACAGATGCCCAAAATACAACCCTGATCATCAAACATTGGACCTCCACTCTGTCCAGCCTGTACACAACCGTCAGACATAATCGCGCCAGGTGAACATTTAATAATGCGTCCTTGAAATATGGCTGGATTGAAATCGTATTTCAAATTGAAGTTAACGAAGTAGGGAAAGCCTGCATTATAGACCGTTTGGCCGAGCGACGGTTTGGCATTGGACAAACGTACACAATAGCGTTCTGGAATGTTATCTGGTGCAGCCAGTAAGGCAACATCAAAAGGTTGGTCGCATTGTGGATTACGCCAAAGCACTTCCGACTCGAATTCTCCATCTACGCTGCGACAAAATGCCTTGGAATTTAGCTAAGAATTGCAAGAAAAGAAAATAAGAGTANAAGCACTTCCGACTCGAATTCTCCATCTACGCTGCGACAAAATGCCTTGGAGTTTAGCTAAGAATTGCAAGAAAAGAAAATAAGAGTCAATTAAATCATAAAAGCGAGCACTGCATTTTCAAAATATGGCAGAGGAATCGAGTTAAATGTTAAAATTCAAAACCAATCAGACGGTAGCTTGTGGTTTATAATTGAAAGTGTAGCGCTTTGTTTCAAAATTTACACCCATTACCTTGAAGACGACATGTGTGCATGTGAGTATAAATTTCTTATTCAGCACCTTTACAAATGTACCAGTGCCTTGACTGCCAGCTGCCTCAATTACAACCATAGCGCGCTCCCCTGCGAATAAAAATCAAAAAGCATCAGTTTTCATTCAAACATANTTCCAGCTGCCTCAATTACAACCATAGCGCGCTCCCCTGCGAATAAAAATGAACAAGCATCAGTTTTCATTCAAACATGCGGACACTCTCTTATATAGTACATGGAAAATTTGATGAATCTCTCGGCACCCGAATAGAAGTTATATTTAAGCCTAATTGACGCATAAAATCGCGTAGCATAAAAGCGAAATTCGCCGCTAAAGTCAAGTTGACATTCTCCTGTTGCCGCTGAAAGGAAGTGCACATTATCATGCCAATCAAGCGCCTAAAAATACATATGTACATGCATCTCATCATACTTTACTTTTTAGGCATAAAGAAAACTATACATACAGCTTATTATTGAACACAGCTGCACCTTCACAACCTAGCGCCAACGCATTTGACAGCACAAATAGACAACCATCGCGGCCCATCACATTCGATACTTTGCCGATGCTTATTGTCTTAAAGAAGTTTTCCAAGCCGAATGGCGTGCACATAACCAGTACATCGTCCAAAGTATGAATTGGTTGCAGATAGCGTAAGTAATGTTCAATATGCCGTAAGAATCGATCAAAATTCTCTTTTCCGCCATCGCAACGCATGGTTANCGGACACTCTCTTATATAGTACATGGAAAATTTGATGAATCTCTCGGCACCCGAATAGAAGTTATATTTAAGCCTAATTGACGCATAAAATCGCGTAGCATAAAAGCGAAATTCGCCGCTAAAGTCAAGTTGACATTCTCCTGTTGCCGCTGAAAGGAAGTGCACATTATCATGCCAATCAAGCGCCTAAAAATACATATGTACATGCATCTCATCATACTTTACTTTTTAGGCATAAGCAAAACTATACATACAGCTTATTATTGAACACAGCTGCACCTTCACAACCCAGCGCCAACGCATTTGACAGCACAAATAGACAACCATCGCGGCCCATCACATTCGATACTTTGCCGATGCTTATTGTCTTAAAGAAGTTTTCCAAGCCGAATGGCGTGCACATAACCAGTACATCGTCCAAAGTATGAATTGGTTGCAGATAGCGTAAGTAATGTTCAATATGCCGTAAGAATCGATCAAAATTCTCTTTTCCGCCATCGCAACGCATGGTTAACACCAGAAAACTGGAAAGCAGCACTTCGTTGTTAGGTTTAGATTCGGCCGCTGTATTGTCCTTACCCAGAAAACGTAATACATGTCGCGAAATATCCGCTGAACTGAAGAGAAACAGCAATTTGGCACAGTAACGCGTTAGTATATGCGGCTGCCTCCGACGTTCATTAGGCGGTGGTAATTTGCGTCGATCGAATGTCACCTGGTAGTTCAGCGCATTCAAATGCTTCGCTTCATCACTATTACCCTCTTGCACATTAATTAGCTGACATTGATGTAATTTATGTAGGATTTTCGTGCTGGGGCACACATCCTCTATATTGGGGTCTGCCACGAATGGCGTTTTTGGAAGTACATATGGCTGGAGTATACAGCCAGAAGTAATAATAATTTCATTGTTTATAATAATAGCCGACTGTTTAGTCACTGGGTGATTACTGATCTCTAGCAGCGCATGTCTAATCTTTAGTAACATCTTCGGAACGACGATTCGGACGATTTGCACTGAAAAATTAAAAATGCAATAGAAAATATTGTTTAAGTGCACACATGCATACATACTTATACACATAATATGGGTTAATACATACATGAGACGTTTTTTGTAGTCTATTTCCAAAATGAAGGCACTCTTTGGTTCTCCACACTATGGCTACGAACTTGCATCCAACTACATATACAGGGACCCACAAAATGCAATGGTTATTTATATGTTTAACACTGGTACATAATATTTACCTTTACCATGCAAGGTGAGCAAATATTTACTGTATCATTTGCATCAGTATCAACATGGAAAGTTTTCAAAATATCTATTCGCTGGATCGCCAAGTTGTTATCGTACGAAGTTGAATCTCATTCGAGAGATCAGAGTCCTATTTTTTTGTTTATTGTTTTGGTACAATTTTCCTTTTATTCTTTGTTTTGCTCTTTGCGATTTACTGGACAATTGCACCCGATTTACATGATTCAAGTACATGAACGAAAGTCACAAGATCACGCCTTAAGGAAAGAAAGAAAAAAGTTAATTTCTAGCTGTCGAAATCTCGACGCCATCTTTATTGTAAGAATTTTTATTATGCAAATTCTTCTATAAATCATGTCTTTGTGTTAAATTATTCTTTACCTTATGTGTGCACAAGTTGTCACAAGCGAAAATTAAAAAAAATTGCAGTGAAAAGCCACCACTAAATTGCAAAAAACGAACAAATGCAAATNTTCGAAACTGCTAAATGTTGCATTTTAAATGCAGCAAAAACGCTGCATAACACAACGCCATGACTCATAGAAGAATTTGCATAATAAAAATNTGGCTTTATACTGCAATTTTCTTCATTTTCGCCTGTGACAACGTGTGTACACATAAGGTAAAGAATAATTTAACACAACGCCATGACTCATAGAAGAATTTGCATAATAAAAAGNCTAAATTGCAAAAAACGAACAAATGCAAATAAACGGCTAATGTCAAAGTCGCCCAACTTTTTTCTTAAATGCGATTATAACGGGCTACTAAGAAGAAGGCGTGATCTTGTATTTTTGGTTCATGGATTTTGACTTTAGCCGTTTGTTTACATTTCTTCGTTGGTGACAATTTGGCGGTGGCTTTATACTGCAATTTTCTTCATTTTCGCCTGTGACAACGTGTGTACACATAAGGCCCTGTCTCCACAGGAAAANATAGAAGAATTTGCATAATAAAAATGATTATTCATGCGTTCAACAATATCGCGGTTTTCTTCGTTCTCTTTGTCATTGGAAATTAATCGACTACGTAGGGTGTTTAGATATCGCGATGTTAAAGGCCCTACACACGAAGCGATTTATCGGCCAACCAGTTGGTCAACCGCTAGAAGTTGTTGGCAAAGAACGTAAATTTACCTTCTTTGGTTCTTCCTAAAAATTTATAAGTTTCCGTTTTAAAGTAGGGATATACAGATTTATAAACTTTGCAATGCAAATTTTTATTTGTGAGCAGGGCTGCCAACTATACTTGGCTATGAAATGCCATATTGAGATTGTTTTTGTTAATATTATGGATAAAAAAGTGCCAAAATGTGCCAATAAAAGAAAAATAAATTGCCAAAAAAGGTGCCGTTCCTCTTAATTCTTCACATTTAGCATTAAAATTAGAAACACATGCCGAAATCAAAAGTCAAATGCCAAAGTAAGATAAACCAGTTGTATAAAATATTGAAATTAGAAAATTCAAGTTGAGAAAAAGAAGTACAAGCAAAGAATTTCACAAAAATTTATTGATACTTTGTGCCAACTTGAAAAGCTAAGTGCCATTTGAAGTAAAATAGGTCAATAATGGCACGGTCTGAGCCAAGCGTGCTATAGTGAGCTAGTTTCGATAAATTACCGATAAAAATTAGAACGGCTCCGATTTGTTCGTCATTAGCATGGTAATTGGAGCTTAATTACCAACAAATGAATGAATGAATGTATGAATGAAATTCCAAGGGTAATTAGAGTGTGAATTGCAAATGAGAGAGTGAACTACGTAATTAGGGTAGCGTCGGAAAGCCGTATTAAGTTAAAAGCATTGATGGCAGAAATACTCGGAAAGGTACAAAAGTACGATAGAATCGTATCTTCACCAGTGAAGTCCTAATCCTACTTTCGATGTATCGATGTATTTCCGGCATCTTTATTCTTGCCGCTAAAGTAAAAAACAAGATTTCCATTTACATTAGTGAATTTGTTATTAAAAACAGATTGAAGAGTTATTCCAAGATGGATGAAGGTAATTCAGGTGAGAATACTGTCCACTCGGCAACCAAAGAATAATTTTGAAAACTTTATTTTATAGACATCGAAAAGCCTCGCAAAAAGCGGCGTGTAGAGCCGGAGTGGAATTTGGAGCGCATCAAAACCGAATTAAGCACATATGAACAGGGCGTAGGGTTTGCCGAGGATTATGGTCTGCTTCCAAGAAGTAGACTATGCCCCATTCATAAGGAATTAATGCATTGTACCTTACCCGGCTATAACAAAGCTGGCAATTTCTTTTGCTCCAAGGGAGACTGCAAGCATATGTCCCGCATTTCCAGAGCCAAGGGAACCTGGTTTGAAAGAGGGAGGATGAGTTTCGCTCGTATTTACTATTTAATGTACTGCTTTTTATATCGAGTTCCTCAAGAGACAACGATACGGGACGATTTTACTAACGACCCCTATAGACTGTCCATAATGACAATTATCAGATGGTATAGTTACTGCCGGGAAGCTATTATAGCATATCAGTTAGACCACCTGGAACACAATGACAAAATCGGTGGTCTGGGAAAAGTAGTCTTAGTTGATGAAAGCAAATTGGGAGAGGGAAAATTCAATAGAGGCAAGTGGATCCATTTTAAGCATTTATTAGCGGCTGTTAATAAAAATTACATTCGCCTTCTTAGTAAGAAATTTCGACGAGAATCCAGTAATTATTATGGTTGAGGATAAAAGCAAAGATCTTAGGATCGAATTATGCACAGATGACGAATATTCGTTGGAGTCCATTATTGGAAAGCACATACGAGACGGTACCACCATTAAGATTATTTCTCGTCAAGAGAATTATGAATATCGTGTCAAAAAACAGAATAAAAGTGAGTTGAGTGAGGCGAGTGGAAAGGATCCGTTAACATCCGCAGCCGATGTATATACTGAGCGGAGGAAAGCGCAGAAAAAGATAGTGGAAAGATTATTTAATCAAAAATATCATAGGCTTCCTGCAAACTTTGCCGAAGTAATTATAGAACTTATGTGGCGACAATCTGTAAAAACAAAACAAAAAGATCTTTTTATGGCTTTGGTAGAAGCTATAAGATATGTATATCATGAAAACTAAAAATTTTATTGCATTACAACGTGATATACCTCAGTTCACCTACAAGTCGGTACAGGAAATAAAATTTGAGAAAGGCTGATATCTCCAATACGTTTTATAATAAAATGCAAACAAAAATACAATTTAGACAATATATCGCACACCGTCTTCAAAAGAGGACCAACTCAAAATAATATGTTTGCCAGAAAATGCGAAAAACTATTTCTTACACATGATAATAATCATATGGGCAAGGGCGACTTTACCTTAGGTTTTTTTTTAACAAATTATAACAAAAGTTTGCTCCAGCTTTTGCTGAAAGTTAAATAAAAGCTCTGTGTGCATTGTTAGCGCATAATCTCAAAAATGCCAAATTTTGAGTTGTGACTCTTTTGAAGACAGCGTGCGATATGCTCGAAAAAAAGCAAATCAGCTGCCTTATTGCTGCTTCTTATTTAATATCGACTGCTGAGTGGAAGATCGGCCTATCTCGGCAGCCAGTTCGAAAACGCCCTATCACAAAAAAACTTTTCAAGAACGCCCTATTTCAGAATTTTATTGAAAAACACCCTATCTCAGAATTCGGTTCAAAAACATCCTATCTTACTTCAAAATGTATTGAAAATGGGCTGATATAGGGCGTTTTTAAATCGGCAGCTGAGATAGGGCGTTTTTGAAACGAATTCTGAAAGAGGGCGTTCTTGAAAAGTTTTTTGAGATAGGGCGTTTTCGAACTGGCTGCCGAGATAGGTCGATCTTCCACTCAGCAGTCGATATGCTTTGTACACTATGCTCATGATTCAATAATAAAAGGTAATGATACAAAAAAGAAGGTAGTTTCACTTAACGATTTTGGTTGTTGTTGTTGTTGTAGCAGCCTACAAATTCCCCAAAGACTTTTTGGGGAGTGTTGCTGGAGTGACAGTCCTTGGCCAGATATAAATCTGGGTCGTTCCGGTAATGATAAAAGAATAGGAAGGTAGAACCGCTGAGAAGAATTTTTCAAATTCTTGACGTTTGCAAGCAATTTAATTTTAAAATTTTCCACACAAACTCACACACAAATTCTCATTTTCAATCTAAAACGACAACAACTGGTTCACGCATCCCGTTTTGCCCAGTTACGGCGTGTTGACGTACCTCTGCCGGGTATTCCATTTTTTCCATTTATAAAAATCCCAGGGACTGAGGGTTTACCTTTTTGAACTTTCACACATTCCCCCCGCATTTATTTTTGGCATTTATTTAATTATGAAGCCTAACATTTCAAAGAATATTTCTTTTTGGCCTATATTTAACTGGCAGAACGTTATTCCAAAATTGTTATTTACAAAATTGTTGATCAGGGAATTTTGTCAGGGGTTACCGAAGAGCAAAAAATTATTCAACATCGAATCCAACCTCTTACAGGCTGCTAAAAACTGATACTTGGCTAAATGCCTCAGGAGCTTTTCATAAGCTTTAAATTTCGCTATCTAAAAAGCTCAAAATGCATTCATAAAAACATTTCAAACACTCATAAGCATATAGGAGGAAATATTTGAACGAAACCGTTAAGTGAGAGCCGTGAGCGCGTTCTTCTCTCTCAGCCAAATGTGGCGCTCAAAAGTCAGTGCATAGATTGATAAGTGGGTGGACGAAAGCCGTTAATAGTTCTTTCGTTATGTTTGGAATTGCTGCTGCATACCGAAGCTCCAGCGCTTGCTCCAACTCTGCTATCACTACTATATGCGTGCACATAACTGGCTCAGTCATTTAATTGGCGGCTTTCAAGTCAGTCGTTCTTGAGCTTTCGCGTTGTGCACTTGTTTTGAACACAGTGAGCGCTTGTCAGCTAAATTTATATGTTTTTGGTGTTAGGTGTATGTGGATACAAGTGTGGTTGTACATATCTGAAGTGAAGAAAAAAAGTGTGAGCAATCATTTTATAGACGCCAAACATAAATTGTGCTTAAAAGTGGATTAAATAGAATAGTGGATAATTCGACATAGTGAAATTTTAACTGATTTTAGTGACCAACTGCTTGATTGTGTAAAAAGGGTGCGCCACGCACATACATACATACATACATACATACATACGCGAAGGAGTCAGCGCATTTTTTGCTTGCACTTGAAGAGGCCGACGAGAATATCCTCCTGTCTATTTGCAGGAATTTTTCAGTGGAACTCAATTAGGAGCAGCGTGTGCAAGAATAGAGGAAACAGGTTAGATACATATGTATGTGTATATCTTTTCCCCCGTGAAAATATCTTTAATAAATTGTACTTACGCTTGACGTAGCGATGATACAATCCTTTAAATCCGGAAGACATACATAAAATTCCTATGAATCCTGCCCCATCTGCTGCTGCTGCTGCTGCTCCCCATGTGCGCTCTCTTGTTCACTTTACTCCACTCAACTCATACACTTGCTATTCTTTCAGTTTCTCTTTCCGCCTTTCTATCCCCCCTCTGCTATTCGGTAGCATTCGTTCTACCGGTTGTTCGGTCATTTGGTTTTCGCTCTTTCAAATCAATTACTTCTTTCGCCTATGTTTCCCTCCTCCATTTGCTTGTTGTGGGGGGTTAATTGCGCCACATGCTGCCTATTATCACTTTTCCCGCTCAAAATGTGCAAACAACAACTACATTGGGCAGGTTGACGACCGAAAACGTAAATAAATGCAACAAACGTCACTGCATATCTTTTTCGCTCTGCTCTTCGTATACGAATTGTGCATTCAGTTATTGTTGTTTTCGTTGTGGTTGTTGTAATTGTTATCGCAATCATACGTAGTAGGCGAGCTGCAAGAGCCGGCTAACGGGTAGTAAAAATCGGACTCTGTGGTTGCTAACCTTTAATTGTATTTACAGTTCATTATACTAGGGTGCGCAGAACGGAAATTTTTTTTTACATTTAGTAAGTACTTTGAACTGATAAGTGCTGATATCAGTGAATAAAAAAAATTAAACAAAAATAATATATAAGGCAATATAAGACATGTAGTAAATATTGTAAAAATTAATGCGAAGTAAAATGTCGTTATGATAAAGATATACATATTTGGAATTACACGATTGGTGTATTTGAACAGATTTATACATTTTGACAGTCACAGAATAAGTTCAACTCAATAACAAAATTTGCACCACTCTGTAACTGTCAAAATGTACAAATATGTAGAAATGCAGCAATCGTGTGACTTCGCCTTTACACAGAGGCCAAATATGAAAATCATACGATTTAAAATCGGTACCCAATGAGATAGGCCTACCTGTGAAACACTTCAAATTTTTCAGAAAATATGAAACTTTAAACTCATGAACATTTTTTTGCAAACTTTTAAAAAATTTCATGAAATACTGTAGCATTGACTAATTCATTTTATTACAAAATAATACATCTGCACTCCAATGACCTCAGTATGCTTGCTAAAAATAATCAGCTTGAAGTGCAAGTTAAATAAACTCATAACTCTTTGTCTTTGCTTTTATAAAAATATATGTATGTATGTGCATTAGGGTGGTCCAAAAATACACAGGCAAATCAACTTTTTCGTGTCTAGTGACGATATGTATATGATGCTTTTAATGTATTTTTTACCCTGAGAACTGATTTGCATCTTGCGTAGCACTTGCTGGCTCTTTGACTGCTTTAAGAGCCACAAAGCTGGCCATCCCTGCCCTAGTGTATATATGTACATATATACATATTGACGTGTACGTATAATATGAACATATCGAGGGCTTATATTCAATACCCTCTATCTACACTTTTCCGAAAATGAGATTCTGATATAAATTCCACATAAGACTTAACTGTCATCGGTGATATTAATGCAGACCTTTTATAACGCTTAACAGAAAAATTTACTATTAAATTACAAAGTCAGAATTAATATCAGTGATGACAGGTAAGACCCAGATGGGCTCTAACATCACAAAGTAGTTTTAGTGAGAATTGTAGATAGAGGGTATTGAATATATGTAAGCCCTTGCTATAATTCTCATGTTTACACAATTGTTCTATGTGATATTCTCGTGCACGCATACATACATATCGCCACCTTAATATGGAAGCGCACTCATTTTCTTTCAAGATTTAGCTTTGTGCAAAAGTCGGTACTTTACGCAGTAAAAATCTAATAGAATTTAAAACCAGTTATCGCAACATTAAGTTGGCCACCGTTTGTAATAAAAAAATGAAATTCGCAACTAAGAATTTCAAATTTTTTCAACATTTTTAATTGGCTTTTAAAGAAACAAAAGCGTTTGATATGACATTTTTATGTATGTTACATACATACATCAGGATGTCTCACCAAGAAAAAGGATTGGTTTTTATGTATTGTAAAATATGATTGTAAAATTGATTATATTTTAAAACTTTTATATTCAACAATTTTATTGAGCTTAAGCCATTTTTAATGAAAATTTTTGCGGAAAAAACTTAAAACTTTCACCAAAATATTTCAGAAAAATATTACGATTTACGTGAGCTGTCCGATTTGAAAATACCTCCAAAACTCTTTTTATATTGATTTCGTTTAAGACATTTTTTCAACACTTTTATGCGGCCTCTTTAAGCCTTAACTAATCTACCAGCTGTGGTGATTTTTCATTTTTTTTTTTTTTGAAGGTACATATTAAATGGGCCTAGCTCACGTAAATCTTAGTCGTTTTTAATATTTTATCGGAAGACTTAAAATTTAATACATTTTATAATTACGATAAAAAGTACCGCTTTTTTTTGTATGGAAGGTGGTGCAGCCTAATGCACATACATGTATGCAGGTAACGAAATGTACATATTTTTTTTAAATTAAATTTGTTGCGCCTTACATATGTTCGTATGCATATTGCATTACACATACAAATATACATATGTACATACAGTTGTGGTCAGGGTACGAAGTATACTCACTTTATCGCTAACTCCAAGACAAGTCTAGAAAATAAAGAAAAAACTGCGCGTTTCTAATTGCGTGGCCAGCCAAGAAACACACACCGCGAAATAATTTTAATTTTTTTTTAATACCCAATCATCGAATCAGCACGTGTTTGTTTGACAACAATGTTCATGGCCTACTCTATGAATAACGGTGCTCATCACTTACAGTGTCCGTCTTAAACAAACTTGTACAGTGATTTTGGTTTTTCCAGCACGTCGTTTCTAATTATAAAGCCACCACTGTATGTACATACATACATATATATTTTTTTGCACGATTCATTTCGTTTGTTGTTTCGTATGTAACTACTAACTACTGTAGTGTACTATCGCCAAAGTGAACTCAGCCGTTTTGTTTTCGTATTGTACCGAACTGTTAAAGTAATAAACGAAACGAAATAGTAACGTACAATATAGTTTATTTTCGTACACTGGTTGTGGTAAGATAAAAGTTATCATTATTAAATATTAGTGAATTTACATTACTTTCGATGTCGGTGTCCACCAAGTCATATTGTTTTTGGTGGAATTTCATTCGGGCGCCCACTAGCTTTTTAATAAAATTTTAAGTGCACTTCATATTATTTTACCATCTTCAATACTTTTAACACTAGTTTAACACACATAAACATAGATAAGTGTTACTCATACGCTATGTTGAACAAATATCCTTTTTTGAAATTTTGCACAAATTACAATTTTTTTTTATGGGAATTACTATTTATTTTTGCTTATGTGCCACATTGTTCTTTTATTCCCAGAAAAATAATGTTGGTAAGCACATATCCACTACTGTATGTATGTAAAATGTAAACGGTGTGGTGTGCGTATGAGCAACTTTTGTTGTTTTTGTTCCAAAACTCAACCACAACTCTAGTTACGTATACGCACTGTTAGCAATATTAAGGTCGAATGTAATAAGGAAATTTAATGCCGCAGAAAAAATTATTAAGGGTATTCATCAAACCTTATAAATGCATTGTAAACCGTATAAACTTATAATTGTGTAAACCTTATAAATGAACTGTCAAAATTTGTATGGAAACTCGTTTACACATTTCTGATAAATTTCTCCAGAGATTTCACTGAATAAACTTGATAAAGTGAAGCCAATGTAACTCTGTCGCAACTCTAGCTATGTTTTCTTGGGCAATTATCGGGATCCGCATAAAAATTTTGCACGCTAGTTCAACAACAACGATATGATCCTGATAGAGATCTGGTTCAATTATTATCCGTTCTGTTTGTTTTGTTTCACTGATAATTTGGCCGCAAAGTTTGGTAGCCGTGACAAATGAATTCATACACAAAACAGACATTCTGCCATTGTTTCTTTTAAATTGCTTCAAATAAATAGCCCTTATGTTATATGTATATTTATTTAAATAGATATTATCTCGTAAATATATTTTTTCCCATTTAGTGAGTTAGTTTCTATAATTTATTTATCCCCGTGCTGGTAGTATAAAGTTAAAAGAGAGTGTGGGTCGTTCATGTAACAGAGTGCATAAACTTATAAGATTATCTGCTTGATAAAGTTATCGGTTTAGATGAATACCACTGTTAGGTTAGTTTGTTTTCTATCACCTCACGCAAAAGGGCTCTGAAATTGAAAAACTGTAAAATAATAATATCGTCGTCAATACGAATAGTCAAACTGTAAAATAATAATATCGTCGTCAATACGAATAGTAAATTTTTTTTATAAGTACATATAACCTTATTTTTAACCGACTTCAAAAAAAGGAGGAGGTTATCAATTTGTCGGAAATATATGTTTTCATGTATGTACCCGCATAACTTTGGACCACGATAACCGATTTCTATAATTCTTTTTTTTTTAATGGAAAAGTGGCCCCGTACTAATTTTGTTTAGATCAGATCATTGGATCACGAAGTCGGTTTGGTTTTTTGATTAAAAATTACATGTTACAAGTGTTCATTAAGTTTCATCTGTGTGTAATCAAATTTTGGACAAAATTTTTAACCAATGTCCCAATGAGCTAGGGACTTGCAACTTGGAACCCGATGACAATGCAATATGAATTAATCCCCTAGGTGGCGCATGAGTCGAGTTATTTGGAAAATCCGTATTTGTAGTGAGATTTGGTTCATATTTAGAACGTATATGACTTAACTTCACAAGAAATTTAGCCGTTAGCTGGTCGATTTTTCTTTTTTTACTAATTTTTTTTTCCTGTTTTTAGATTCTGTCAATTTGCCAAATGTCTACCCGAGCCTCTCCTCCAATTTGTGGTG